TCTTTATGGGATAATATTTCATGGTAGGTCAGTAGTAACTTGCAATACCACAGAACCAGACCAAACACTCCACTTTGATATCAATGAGGGCAGGAACTATGTAGCTGTTTCCCCCTCACTTTGGGTTGCAAAGTGGGAGTTTTAACCTGACCTTTTTAGATGTCACTTCCGATGTTCTAAAACAACTAAAACATGATCTGGTATCTGGCATGCTTATTTGCAATTTTAAAGCCCTAAAGTCAGTTCACTGGTCTGCTAGTGTGCAATAATGGTAGGAAATAAGAAGGGCAGAGAGATAAACAGAAGGTTATGTAAGGAAATTCACACTGGGATGGGATCAATTAATTTCTGGACCTTGCTCTCTTTCTAAATAACAGCAATGATGAGTAAAATTGATCTTTTTTTTTTTTTTAGCATTTTTTGATCTGTGACAGAGAGAAAAAGGTATCACAAGCATGAGTGGATGAACACATTACAAATGTCATTTTATACAATGAACTCATTGTGCTCCAGATTTTACAGAAAACCACAACTCTGCTTCTGTGGGTATTAATGTATCTTCTGATATAACATTATGAAAAGGTAATCTCCAAAGTGATAGTATCAGAAAAATGGCATACATGTTGTCAGCCAGCACTTTCATCACTGCTTCTGTAGCTAAGCATTCTCTAGGGAGTTGTTCTTCCTTGAAAGTAAGGTAAATTTAATCTGCTACCAGAAGTGAGCAGTCTCAATTTATTAAAGTAAGAGAATGCACAAGTCTTATTGGTACTGTTGGGTGAATGTGCCCAGTATTGGTATAAACCCTTATTGTCCAGGAAATTTATAATACCCATTGAAGCATCCATGGTAGGCTGCATATCTTGTGATAAAAAAATAGCACCAGCAAAACAGTGCTTTACAGTGCATAAGATTCATAAATGTTCTAAGTGAACTATTCTCTAAGGGGTCAATCTTTTTTTCAGCTCCTAGAAAGTGTTATGTAACTTCTGAAAGAGGCCTCTAAGAAGTAACAAATTAGACAGAAAGAAAGAATGATTTTTTTTTTTTAACTCAGAGAAGAGAGATGTTATGCAAATGCATGTTTATATATTAATGGTTTGGAATATTATAATAATAATGACATGTTCACATGAATTAACAAATTTTGACAAATATATCCAGCATTCTTTAAGCATCTGGAAAAATACTGTGATTCTTTCAGAGTAAAAATTTAAAAAAATGCAATTTTAAAATTCAGTACATAGAAAGAGTTTTATTGGGAAGAACTGTCATCTTTTCTCTCAGATTTTTTTAGCCCCGAATTACCCTGGGAATTTTTTAATGGGAAATGCAAAATCAGATATTTCTGATTAGGCAAAACGTGTAAATTTAAGATATTACAAACAAATGGAAAAAGGATTAAAAAATTATCTATGACATTGTCCTAAAAAACAAAAAGAGGAGAACATAGACAACAATTAAATGAGTTGTGTAGCATCTGATCTACAAAATAAAAGCACAGCCCAAAAAGTACTTGGCACCATGTTTTACTAGAGATTGCTACATTTTTCTGGGCAGAATAAATTGTAAACAACCCTGTTTTCATTAGATGATCTTCATAAGTACAACTCCCAGATAAACAAAAAGGCATCTTCCCTGGGTTTGCTCTCTAAAATTGCAGGAAATTATTACAACTTAATGCATTTTCTTTGTATAGCAAAGAAATTCTATTCCAGCTCTTGTTCTGTCTTGCTTACATGAGTACAGATACTGCATAATTTTGTTGTCTGTCCTCTTGTTCATACTCTTAAGCCTCTGCTCCGAATAGTACTTTTTCAGTATAAAATAAAACTCAAATAGCAACAAAGAATCTCACGTACCTTAAGAATATAGTGGGGGAAAAGTATCATACTCTGTCCTTTCCATTATTTTTTTAATGAAAGTTGCAACACAAACAGAATCCAGAAGGTGATTCAAACAACTCTTAAGTTCTGCTGGACTGCATATTTGGTACAGCCCTGTGACTGTCTCCTGACTTACATTTCCCTGAGGGTTTTAAGCTCTGCGTTATGAGGGTGAATATTCAAAGAATGGAGATTTAACATTGTGGAGATTTTTATTTAGAAAAACCACAGGTTCAGGCACATGAGATAAAAGTTTAACTGCTCATGTGATCAGTTATCTGGACTGAGGCTTTAATACTTATTTGGTCTCCTGAAGCCATAGAATATTATTGACCTGAACCATACACATGCTGAGATTGTATATTGCTGCAGTCTATACAGGTAGATAGGAACAAACTACAAAATCTTATGCTTGTGTATGCCCTAGGTTTCAAAGTACATAGATACAAGCATTAACATTTGAAGATCCAAGGCACTGCTGTGGAGCCTGCTTTTAATAATGGAGTAGGGGAACATTCATGCAAGTCTATTTGGACTTAAAGAAAAAAACCTGTTGTTTTGGGTTCTGAAAACAAGGGAAGAAAATGCCTACTGAGATTTTTATGAAATGAGACCTCTATTCTAAAGAAATAAAAGGAGAAGATGACTGGATTTGAAGATGACTGCAAGAGAAATATAATTTTGTAATGACAGATACATCTATTTCTGACTACCACTTTCAACATGACATCAAGAATTTATTTCTTACCACTCTACAAAACATTATTGAAAACTCTCTTAAGGTAATTTCTGTAGTTTTTTCCTTTAAAAACTACATAGTGAACAAATAAATAAAACCCTGCACGAATGCCGATCTTTACGGAGTTATTAAATCCAGAGGTAAAAACAGCAGCTGTTTTGTAAGAGCATTCTGATTATTTTTAACAGCTGATGCACAAAAACATGAGTTTTCAGAAGTGCAGACTTGTCACAGAGAAAAGAAAGGCTTTTTCTGACCACCTTCTCTCAACTATTTCCTAGAAGAGTAAGCAATAGGAATAGGTGATAAATATGAAAATTGTAAATGCTAGATAACTACATATTGTGAATGCACTTCATAAGTGTTTCACTGCTATTTTATTCATAGAATGTACCACAAAGAAAAGGTCCCAGTGTTTAAACAGTATATTCAAAGGGTCACGTGCCAAGCAAAATAGTAACAATGAATTTGCTTTTAAGATAAATTTCTTGTTATTACTTTAGATAAACGGTCATTGTGTTAATTATAAGGGCAATTTGAAAGTTATGTTTTTGGAGTCTTTGTATGTATGAGAAGTTTTATGCAAGATGCTATAGGAAGTGCATACTTTTCTACTCCTTAGGTGAAATAAAAACGTAATACACAATAGGCCTTTACCTTAAAAGACACCTTTTTCAGTTCCTTCAGCTACTTTCCCCTGTCAAATCCAATTTAGAATAGTCCAAACACTGCTTTCTGCTGTTGGTTCTAAAGTCAATTCTCACTGTTCTTGGGGAAGTAACAAGAAAGCAGCAAGTGATTACTAGTGCATACTTTTAGCCAAAGCATGACATTGCTGCATCAAAGATTTACTAAAATTCCTCACCCTCTTATAAATCTTTGTATTAAACAACTTACGTAGTAATAAACGCATACAATATAGATCCAGATTAAAATATGTTCAAAACCATATGTCAATTTCATCATGAACAACAAGTTCAATACAGCTATTCAAAAGCACATCTTGATATAAATATCTTTTACATGGCCATGATCTTCCACATGAGATCACAGTCCAGTACTCGATGAGTTTATTTGAAACTTCTACTAAAATACAAAAATGCATAACCGTACACCTCCTTTATTTCAGGAACAGCTGTCTGGCTTTTCCTACAATGTTCCATCACAATCTGAGTGGAATTGACATGCTAATCTGAGAAAGGTCTGGTGTCTTACTTAAAGAATATTTTTAATATATGAATTAGTCCTTCAAATTTTATTGTTATAATTAATATTGATAAATATTTTATTGATCTCTTTTGGAACTAGGATATGAAATACATTAATCTAGTCTAATAAATAGCCTGACTTAATATTTTTTTCTGCTGTAAATACAGTTAAATGTAGGAACTGATTCTTTAGGAAGATTATATAGTCTCCTTCCCTGAAAGATTTTACAGATAAAAAATTCTGTAAAGAATAGTTTCAATATCACTGTAAATACCATACCAATGATGGAATTAATGCTTTTCATCAGAGATGTCTAGTGATCTGTAGGATCAGGTGTTCCACAGCACTACTACAAATATATAACTGCAAAGTAAAGCCAATCCCCCACACTTCCCACATACAAACAGGTGTAAAAACAAAACCACACAATACATGCACATACACAAAAGCTTAAGAGGAGAACTCAGACAAACATTTAAAGTTTAATCTTATTTTCATCAGACTGCAAAATGGAGATCAAAATGCAATACTCAACCAAGAGTAAGTTTAATTTAGGTTTGGGTTTTGGAACGGTTGGGCAGTTTCTTTGATTCAAGAAATGTTCAGAAACACTTGGTTTGGTGATTCTGAAAGCCATTTTCCTTCAGGGCCTATGTCATGAATTTCTGATTGTAATTTTCAGGCACACTTTGTTAGGAAGGGCATGAAGCAATAGACTATCATCCAGGGAGCACTGAAGGACCTACTCTTGATGTCATGTCTGTAAAAGTAACTATGAATTCCAATTTTTATGCCCCTTAATTTTTTTTTCTCCTCCAAGCAATAATTAGAAATAACCTTGACAGTCAGTATCCAGTACCCTATTTTACCTAGAAATAGGCTAAATTGTTAACACCATTTTCATTTATCCACTTTTAAAAAAACATTCCTGAATGTATGAAGAATAAATGTTAAAATTAAGTGGAATATAAAAACAAAATGCAATATCTGATTATTTTTAGTTTGCAATACGTTCTTTATGCATGCCCTTGACATCTGACAATTCAGTGATAACATATTACAGTTTTCCCTTTCTGTCAAGAAACACATGGAAATTTTTCTCTTCAGTTCAGACATCCCAGACAGAACAGAGACCCATTTCTTTGAGATTTATATGTTTGATTTACCTTCATTGTTCCTTAGAGTAAAGTTGGGATTCAAAGAAAGCCCTTCATCAAGAGAAAAATGGAATCTCGCTCCATTTGCAGAGTTATCTTTGTCAGTCGCAGTGATAGTCTGAATTACCTGAAATAAAAATTAACAGTGAAACGTTAACTTGACTCATATGGTGCCTGAACTCAGCAGGATGCTCAAGCTTACCTTTTTTTAATTTTCTACTTGACTGCTGCTAAATTCAACAGATGAAACAACTGCATCATTAGCTTGATTTCTCTAGCATGAAAGATTTTAGGAACCACACTTCACAGTTATATGAAAGCATCTAAAGGATCTATACTTTTGGATGTTTTGATGTGGTCAGGACCTGGTACAGAAGTTATCACCATTGTCATTGCATCCTGATAACTTTCTGAATTGCTAAACATCAGTTTTTATGGAACCAAAAGACAGGCTGAATCAGGATGGTCTATGTGAAGCATCATCTGCCTGCCATCCTAATAATTAGATGCATGTCAATATTGATTAGGAAAAATAATTATCTAAAATGGTAGGTATATAACGGCAGGTTATATACCTAAATACCTAAATATCTATCTATTTAGAATTCCCGTCAAGAGTCAGTTTAAATTGCCAGAGAACAGAACAGGAAGAACAGCAGCCACTCCTGGGTTTAGTTTGGTTTGCCCAAAAAGGACCAGAACTAGATCTAGCAACGACATATGAGGGAGGTGTTTTGAAAGGTAGGGCTTTGCCTTCAAAAGCCCTAGTGGTTTTTAATATTTACTTTCAACTAAAATTGATCTAAGCTTTTGGAATGTGGGACCAAACAGTATTTCTACCTCTACTTTATTTTTCATGCTGGGTCTTGAAACTCAAGTGCTGAAGTGGAATCCAATAAAGGTTGTTCTTGTGATATAGGCAGTGAAGCTTACACAAAGATGATCTCCACAGAGATGATAGCTATCCTGAAGGAAATGTAAAAGGAGGAGGGAAAGTTCTCTTTTCATGAGAATTTTTCTGCTCAGTGTTCAGCTTTAGTCTGTCTGGACTGAACCTGAAGCATAAACAGTGCAGGCTCAAGTGGTTTGGTCTGTTTTAAAACTGAAAGACAGCACACAGTTCCCTATCTCCCTACCTTCTCACATAAGAGAAGCAAAACAAATACATTTTGAAACCATGTGTCAGTTTGGGCTGGGGTAGAGTCAATTTTCTTCGCAGTAACCAGTATGGGGCTGTGGTTTTGATTTGTGCTGGAAACAGCGTTGATAACACTGAATGTTTTTGTCATTGCTGAGAAGTGCTTACAGTGTCAAGGGCTTTTCTGCTCCTTGATCCGAAGGATATTCCAGACCATGTGGCATTAGGCTCACATATAAAGCTGGGGGAAGAAGAAGGAAGGGGGGGATGTTTGGAGTGATAGTGTTTTGTCTTCCAAAGTCACCATTGTGGCGTGATGGTGCCCTGCCCTCCTGGCAATGGCCAAACACCTTCCTGTTCATAGGAAGTGGTGAATTAATTCCCTGTTTTGCTTTGCTTCCATATGCAGCTTTTGCTTTATCAATAAACTGTCTTTATCTCAACCTATGAGTTCTCTCACTTTTACTTTCCTGATTCTTTCCCTCATCCCACTGTGGAGGAGTGAGTTAGTAGCTGCGTGTGACTGAGTTGCCAGTTGGGGTTAAACCATGACAACTCAATGGGATATAATGCTTATTCTACTTACTGTATACAACAAAGTACATTTTATTGACTATACACACCTGAGACAATTAACAATATTTAAGATGATTGCCAAGAATATTTTAAGAATTTGTCATAATACTTTTTTGCTGAAGTGTAGCAGAGTAAGATCAATCTTAAACAATTGTGCAGTTTATCAAAGTCATGGTAATATTGGCTAAAAAGTTTGGCAAAAGCTAATTGTTCACTACTGAATTTTGCAAAGGTGGTAAAACTGTGAGTGAAACTACCATGCAAAACCAGATATATAAGATTTTCCTAGCTTGAACTATATTTAGTTCATAATCTGGAAATGGTATGAGGTGAGATGAGGCAAGGCAAGACCAAAAAAAAAGGGAGATGGAAGAATATGTTCAAAAGAATCAATTTCTGCTATTATTCAAATAGTAAAAATACTGTTAAATGCCATTCGAGCTGTAAAAACTTCAGATAAGACCATAAAAATATATTAATTTATGAAATATTATTTTAAAATCCTCAATGCTGTTAATCAGAGAAATAGAAGTCAATTCGTCATGCTTTTATTTGACAGCCTAGTAGATAAATTTTTGTCCTGTTGCCCTCTCCAATGAAAACACTCAGTGACATTTTACAGAATCTTACATCAAGGCCATGCCATTTTGCAAAAGAAATACCTTCGATCAAGGCCTCAGTGCCACAAGACTAGTATAATAATTATTTGGGTTTAAGACTAACTTTATAACTCAAAATATACTGTCTACATTCCCTGATTTCACACATGGAAATTCACATGTCCACAGAATTCACCCATATAAGTAAAAAATATAGCACCAGATGTTATACAAATCATGCTTTTCCATGTAGAAAACAAACATTGTATGCTTAATAGGACAGGTCAGAACATTTTTAGAGACCTGTTTTTAAAAAGAAAGTTCACTGTCTTTCAGAAAAGATTTGTAAGACATTAACTCAGAGGTGAGAAACAGAAGTATGGGTCCTCTTGACACCGAAATCTGCTGTTAACCCTTTTCTATTTAATTTGCCAACTGCTTAATATCCTATTAGGAGGCACCTTACCAAAGCTGATTACAATAAAAATGTAGACATATAGCCTCAGCTGCAGTAAAGTTCAGTTGACAATACTCACAGAATGCAACTGAAAAGTTATGCTTTTTCTTTAAAGGTAAGACTTGGCAAGAAAAAGGAATTCAAAGAACTGAGGAGACCTAATTGCAGAGGGTGGAGAGCAGGTGCTAAATTCTACTCAGATCCTTTTTTAGAACTGCATCAATAAAGAAGCAAATATGCACATGACAAACACATAGTAGAGGCATTCCTTGTCAGCTAACATTGATTTCCTTTGTGGAAGATTGCAAAATGTCATTTTCCCATACTGGCTGAATTTCACAATCATTCACAAAATGAGTATATGTCTAGAAGTCAGTATTCTTCAAGTCTTAATGCCATTTAAGATAAAATCACAGCTGCTTTATCGACTTTAATATATAATATCTACCAGGCTTCACCTGGAATCCATTGTAGATACTTGGTCTTTCTTCTCAACAATACAATTACTAAGGGACTAAAGCTGTCAGTATGTCATGGAAATGATCATCTTCTCATAAGCATTTTCTTTTTGTCATGCCTTAGGAGTGGTCATTTAAGCTTAAGCATAAAGCTCTTAAGAAATTTTTGGTTTGGATTTTTGTTGGTTTTGTTTGGTGGTTTGGTTGGGATATTTTAAATAAAAAAATAGAGCAGCAGAGGGAAAAAGAAGTGGTAGAGGCTCTGCAACTAGATGATACTTTGATTCTCTTCATAGAAGCCTCCTCTGATAACAAATAAATGAAGACAGAAAGTCCTCCAATGACAATCTACTGGTTAGCTTATCTTGCACATAATAATTTCAAAATAGATGTACTGAGGAAACAAATAAGGACTCTTACAGGACAGTGTAGAGCTGGAGCCCAACCTGAAAGATCTAGTCAAACAGATATCCCCAGCAGTACAGAATATGTTCTTTAGGGATAAATCTTATGAAGCATTCCCATAAGATGATGAAAAACTCAAGAGTAATTCTGCCTTTTCAGTGATTCAAAACCACCCAGCTGGGAACAGCATTTTAGCATATTTGCCTTATTCTGCAATCCTTATTTGTCCCTCCCTAATATTTGTTGAACACTGTCTTTTTTCTTTTCCTTAGACTAAATGGTAACATCTTCTGAGTAAGATCTGTGCACTTTTGCGTTTTGTTTTAGTTTTTGTATAGTGCAACAGTGTCACAATTTTTCTGAAACCTTTTTGTACAATGCAAATAAAAAATAGTGCATGTCATGTATGTCCTCTTAGTTTAAGCATACAACACCAAGCTGGTCCAGCCTTTGACATTAAAGGACTACTTGTAGAGTCCCTCATGGTAGCATTAATCTCGGTTGTTAAATTGCAATGTTACAGAAATATGGAGTCATTCTCACTTGCAACAGTAGCTCAGAGAGAAATACGACGCTGACCCAAATAGGAAGCAAGTGCAATCGTACCACTTAAATATCACCTTTTTTTTTTTAATCTTTTACAAGTTCTAATTCTTCTATATTTGGCTTTATTTGAGGTTTTTAGAAACTATTTTTACTTTCATAAGGATTTAATAAGAGATATTCAGTTAACAGACAGACCAACTTAGATTTTCCAGGGCTTTGAATGAGGTGTCTCAATAAGAGCACTGAAGAAAGCTATGCAGATAGTTATTAGATGGGAGGGAAGGTCCTTGTACACATAATTGCTTAAAAGAAACGGAGTCTCTTCTGTATATTGTCTATTCCATGAGCAGGGAAAGTCACAGAAATTTCCTGTTTATGTTTGACCATTTGTTGATCAATGTAACATTAAATGTCTTATAGGATATATAAAGTCTTAACTTCATATACATGATGATGATCTCTGAGTTGACTATTACTTATAATGATATTGGTGTTATTGCAGGCAGCTTTTTGCATTCAGTGCTTACTAGTGGTTAAAAAGCAAAGCCACTGTTAGAAATTGCTATGAAAGTACTATAGAGCAAAGCAGAGATCATCATACACTATGAAGCATAAGTTATTATAAGAATTATAAACCACTGCATACCTGCATCTTGAATCTTGATTCCCCCTCAGGGTGAATAGAGAGGAAATGGAGAAAGTTCAAGGGAAGAAAATATGAATGATCAAAAGTCTAGAAGGGTTTTATCACGGCTTGTCCCAGTTAAGTAGGACTCTTCAGTTTGGACAAGAGGTGGCTAAGGGGCAATGCACTAGAGACTTATGCATGACACAATGATAATAAATAGGGATCAACTGCACTTTCTCTCCCTCTCCCTCAACACAAGAACTGGTAAATATCAATGGAATACAGTATGGGAAGATTAAAAAAAAAAAAAGGAAAAAGGTTGTAGGTTTTATTGAAGTACGCAGTTAAAATGTAAAACTACAAGGTAGTAGATATCAAAAGGTTATGCTGGTTGTGGGAAAAACTAGCCAGATTCATATGCCATGGTTATTAAAGGATTATTAAAAACACAGACACCACATTTGGGTCAGGAAATGATCCACAAGTGATCCGAGACCAGGGAAGTACTTGGTTAAGTACCATACATGCTTGCCACGTTCTTATAATGCTCTTTAGGTGTTGGCTTTTGGACACTGTTAGAATGAAGACAACTTTGATCAGGCAATAGTCAGATGAAGTACAGCATTTTTATAACCTATGCTTTAAAATTTAAGAAATATGCCACTATGCATTTATGTACACTGCTTTTAAGAATTTGAGGAAAAAAATGTTATTACTAGTAATATATTCTTCAGGAAAGATATGAGCTCATAATTGAAACATACGACCTGTGCAATAATGCAAAACTAGCATAGTGTGGTGTGTAAAAACTCAATCTATGTAGAAAAGCAAAGACACTTGGTAAAATTGTCAAACACTGGATAGCAGTGAAGTGCATGGATCACAGGAGCAGTGGTTAGAATATGATTCAACTATTTACTCTCATTCTAACCCTCCCTATGCTCATAGTTGTGAAAAACTCATTCAACATCTCTTCCAAAATGACCCTGTATAGACAAGGGAAAGCAACATGCAAAAAATGAGGATGTTAGCCATGTTCACCAGCCATTTCAGTAAGCTTTATTTGAAACCTTGCTACTATGTGGCATTTAGATGAGAGATGTTAAATCTGCTTCATTCACTTTGTTCAGGATAGTCAGGCTTGTCAAATTCTATCACTTATCTGACAAGATTAAAGTTTTACTTGCCTTTACAGAAGAGAGTTGGAGTATTTTTTTTTTTGCAGCAACAAGACAAATTTCCTCCCTTCACCCTAATACAGTTAAAAAGTTGAATCAAATATGAAATGCTAAAATGAAATCAAAAAGAATTATGACATGTATTCCCCAAATCAAACTTCTGACATGTTACATTAACAAAGTAATTGTTTTTTATGACTGGGACAAAGATAACTGTGAGAGTTACCTGACCAGGCTTTGCATTTTCACAGACGACTACATCATAATCTCTGGCAAGCTCTGGAGGATTGTCATTGACATCCAGTATTCTAACACCAACTGGAACGTGGCTCACCAGTCCAGGATTGTCTGCAAAACACACAGGGGGGTATTAAGCCCTTTGAAGTACTCAATATTCCTTTGCATCCTCAATTTAAAGGTGGCTTATTACAGAAATTTTGGTAGCAATGTATTAAAAGGTGTTTGCTGTGCTTCACTAACTGTTTTGAAAAAACAGTAAGTAAAAGGAGTGGGAAGCATGGTATGAGTCCTAAGTCACTTAAGTCAAATGTAAGTTATGATCAATTGCTTTGCAATGAATGTGAAAGTGTCATCACAGTACTGAATTAAATCTAATACAAAAAATATTAAAGAATTCTTTTCTTTTTCACAGTTCCTTAAAGAGTTGATAAAATAAAATACAAACATAATAAAAAAATACAAATGCGTAAGCCTCTCCCAAACTGGAGTTCTAATTTTTCACAAGTTATTATGCTAATTCTCAAAATAATTTTTGCAGGAAGAAAACAACGTCTAAGTACCAGTGTCTTAGTCTGTGATCTGTACTTTCATGAGAGCTCACCTTCAGAAAGATTTCACCCTAGCACAATAAATAGAATCCTTTCAATGAGAAAACACTTTACATGACAAAATGGAAAAAACCCCAACAATTCTTTTCAATCCATAATATCCTTGGTCTTACTTCTAAGTAATAAGGTAATTTTATTTTATTGAAATAATTAGGTGTTTAAACTTTTTATAATTAACTAATATACACCTTCTGAAGTCCATATATCAATCAATTAGATGACAAACTTCATCTTCCATTCACCAATTAAATGAGACTATCAGTAGAAGACAGTAAAGTCAATCTTTCAAATGCAATAAAATGGGGTATTACAAACTGACATATTAAAAGTTCATGTCCCTGTGAGTGTTCATGAAAAGCAAAGACAAAAAAAAAGAGAAACATTAGTAGTCTAAACCTCATTCTCCTTTGTTATTTTGATTGTAATTAATCCAAACCGTATTTCTGTCAAGAGGGTCATTTTTAAAATGCTTTATTTTTGTCAAACCTTTAATGATGTCTGCTCAGAATTCTGGAAAGCATTGATTAGACATATACTTGGCCTCAAAGTGATCAGTGACGTAGGTTCATAATGAAAGAATATTTGAGAATGTTGGAGTTTCTTTTGTCAAATGGAGAGATCTATTTCTATTTTCCCTGTTTTCACATGGGATACTGACCAAAGCATCTAGGGCTTAGAAGTTCTCTTCAGATTATTCACATTCTCTTTTTAACTAATAAGTCTACCTTCACCTGATGATTTTTCTTCACTTTTGGAACTTAGTCAATTATCCCTGTAAAATGGGAATTGAAAGGAGATCAAAAAAGTCAACATAAGACTTGACAGGTAACAGAGGAACCTCTATTCCCAATAACATTAACATTAGGAGTTAGAAGAATACACTCAGAAGACATTTATAGACTTGTAAATTCTATTTTCTTGCTGAAATTTTCCTTAAATATTCTTATTTTCAGCTTTACCCTGAACCTATGAATATCTTTGTAAGAGGTAAACTAAGGGACTAAAACGGGCTATCTCAATTGTGTTCATGCAAGACAGAGGGTTTCTATTGCTATACAGAAAACACCTTTAGTGGAAAACTTTGAGGAATGTTAAAATGCTGGGGATATGCGAAGTGAAGCTGAGAAGGAATGACTCTTTGCTGTCCACTAAGTGTCTGGGAGAAGGGAACCATTTATCTACTCTTGTTTTTATTACTGAAGGAATCAATCTTCTCTCCAGGACACTCTTTGTAGTATGATTATTAACACAAAAGATGTTTGTTTCTTTCCTGGAGATAGGTCAAGAAACTGTGCAGAATAGCATAAGCGGTAGAGATTTAATATTTCTTACCGTTCACTTAAATATAGCTTACAACAGATTTAGGTAACTTCTTTTGTCAACATCATCAGACAATGCAATTACAAAAATCCTGTGATTACAACTACACAACATGGTGTCTAGGGCTAAAAGAAACTTTGGTTTTGACGATTTGTTGAGGAGGTTGTCACACATAATTTGTGTGGTATGTGAATTAGAAAGTGGTAAAAATGAAATGAAGGACACAATGCACATAAAGAAAGAGCACACAAAAGCATAGAAAGGAGATAAAAGGCGGAGATCATAGTAAAGGGTTAAAGAGGAACAAATCCATTTTGGAGGGTATTCAAAACTATAATGAAGAATTTGAGGATTTTAATACTAAAGAAAACTCAAAGGAGTTTTAACCAGAAGCCAAAAAAGGGTTGTGATTATCAGGTAATCATAGGATCACTGAAAAAATCTTAGTTGAAAGGGACTTCTGGAAGTCTGAATTTCCAGCTCAGAACAGTGCCATCTTCAAAAGTATAAGGGGATATAATACATCTAAGATGAAGAGAGTAAAAAAGCTGGAAGAGGACAAGGCAGAGGGTACCAGAGATATAGGACTGCTCTTTAGGTCTGGCATGTTTGAATAGTTACTGTGGAAGGAAAAATCAAACTTTTTAGTCCAGCGTGCAGCAAAAGGGTTAATGGTTTTTTTTGTCAGTATAGTGTAGCAGACCTCTTTGTCCCACCTTAAAGGTGTCCTCTTGTACGCCAGTCACTACTATCCAGACCAGTCTTACTCTAGTTGGTTAGATTTGCAGTATTTTCACAGAGATATTTTATGGAGATTCAGAAAGTTTACCTTTATTTCTTCTGCAGCTGCTTTTCAGTACAAAGAATTTATGAATACTTCACCAGTTTGAAAGAGTTCTTAATTCACAAATTATTATTAGTATCTCTCTGGAAAGAGTTACCTCATGGGATCACTGACATTTGCAGGCAAATTTCCATACTGACAGCCTACTCACTACAAAATGCTAATAGGGACAGTATTAACACCACTTACAAAAACAGTCTGGAAGATTGTGCATATAACATAGATTTGCATCCAAGATGACAGAACAGTTTATAATGGGGGAAGAGAATGAGAATGAATTGAAGCACATACAAGCTTTTTTCTTTTTTAATTTTTCTTTTAAGGTTTGCTTTAGAGAATCAATATAACCTACAATCTTTTTCAGGTATACAACTCACCTGTGATCTCCAAACCACTCTAATAACTGGCCCTTTTAATAGTACCTTTTTTGTTAATTAGACAAATTTCTTGCAGCAGTTTGGCAGATTTCCAGTTTTAAGATAATCAGTGCTGACATAGATTTCAGGCCTGCACATTATAAAACATTCTGTGTCCTATTAGCATTATGCCTCTAGAGTAGATTTTTCAAAGTGAATGCTCCCTGTTTTAAGGAGTAACTGAAGCAGAAACATTGCTCTGATTCACCTATGCTAGATACTTGCTTTCTTATGCTTGAGACTTTTCCCAGAACAGATCTTTTCTCAGAATACTAAATATCTGTAAAGTGAATCAATTTCATCATCAGATCCTCCACTGATAAGTCCACTCTAAATTTACAGAAGACCCTATCAACAGCCAGTCTGAAGCCTTCAATCTTCTCTTTCATTAGTTTCTGCGGGACCGACTTCAAAATCCATATTTAAGAAGAAAGCTTTTTAATATAGCTAGTGCTGTCTGATACTTCCTTTTCATTAACAAAATTCCCATGGGCTTTATGAAAATAAATTCTACCTGAATGACTCTCAGAATAGCAGTCCTGAGATGAACAGTCTTTTGAGGTTTTGTTTATTTGCTTTTTGTCTGTTTCATTTTCTTGTTTTGTTTGTTATTGTGGTTTTTTTGTTTGGTTTGGTTTTTTTCCTAGACTGGTAGAGTTAAACAGTTATGAACTGTGTAACTATAGTATATAAATCCCATTTTGACATCTTTCCAAGACCTTATGAGGTAAACCAATACACAGGAAATTACCAACTAAATATCTATACCCTTACTTTTTAAAGAAAAGTATAAAGGGCTCATCACATTTCTCTAATAAAGATTAGTTTTAACAGATGAGAATAATAAACACAGATCTAGGAAGGATAAAATAAACTACTGAAGCAGACCTAAAGTGATGAAATAATGTCTAATATATAAGTGACTGTAGCAATATTCAGAAAATACTGGGTTTAATTCAGGATGGTGTATACGTGATAAACTAAATTTTCTGGCAGGTTGAAAATTATGCATAATTTAGTAATAAGTGTAATTTTCTAGTCTGCTTTTTTCAGCTAGTGAGTACTTCTAAATATTGTTGCCTGTAGTTGGTTAGAAAATGTTTTTATTTTTTTCTTGTAGCAAAATTTAACTTTTCACTGATGAACACAAACCTGAAGGCACTGCTCACTTCTCTTAAGTTATGCTCATAGGGATAGAAGCAGCAGCTACAGGAGCAATAGTAATGATTACAGCACTGCAGCAGACTGAAAATATTTAGAACTCTCAAGCTGGAAAACCCTCTGCCTTAATGCAAGCAAAATTCTGCAGCTCATAGACAATGTTAATCAGCATACCACAAAATATACTGGTTCTGTGGCAAAAAATGTCTGTTTTGAGACTCTGTTACTGATTTACAAAGCCTCAAACAGGGAAATAAATGCCATGTGATCTCAAAATCTATCCCCTCTTTGGGACCCGCCTTGGTAACCAACAAAAGCAATAGCCTACATCATCTTCAGATGACAGTATAGGAATATCTTCATCATAGCTTTTCCCAAAGAAACAGAGGAGAAGAAAATCCAGCATGCCTAGAAGCCAATGACCAAACCAATATAAACAGAGAATAAGCACCAAAATTGGAATTAGATACATCACTTCTTGAACTAGCTACCTTTCAACAACTATTGGATTTTTTTAATAGTTTTGTGTAGGCTTTCCTTATCACATTGATTAGCACATTTTAAAGAGTGGTAGATACTGCTATATCCACGCAGTTTTTAAACACTTCCAGGGATAGTGATTCCACTGCTTTCCTGGGCAGCCTGTTCCAATGCTAGATCACCCTATCAGTGAAGCAACTTTTCCTAATATCCAGATTAAACAACTTAAAACTATATCCTTTTGTCCTATTGCTTGTTACTTTGGAGAAGAGATCAACC